TATATATATGATTTCCACTGGGACAGCCAGGAAAACATACCATCTTGGTTCACCTGGTTTGCTGTTACATTACCTCATATTTCAGTGATGGTTGCAAAACACTCATCTCTGTTTTCACTACTAGGTGGAGGACTTCCCAAAATTACCAGCATTGTCCAGCTGACAGCAGAAGGCAAAGTTCCTCACCCTACTCTTCCTTAAAAATGGAAATACCTGGTTATAACAATTCATTTGGAAGAATTGTACTCTCCCTTATCATGGTGTCTGTTATTGCTAGTCCACAAAATAGTGAGCCCTTCCTATACAATGTGTGTGCTGATGTACTAGAAATAGTTGTAATACAAGCTCAGCTGGTGCCAAACCATGGGAGCATGTTGTTTTGTACTTGGAATAATGTTCTCCCCAAGTTTAGTGCTCTTTATCTGCATCTAAGAAACACCCAGAAAAAGAGGGAATTTTTTTCCCTGCCTTCAAAATTAAATACTTCATTTAGATTCAGATGACTGAAAACCTAATCAGAAATATATCCCAAAACAGATCTTCAGAGATTAAGATAACCAACAGATTTTGTTAAAACAACATATAATGTTTGTGTTTAAACATATTTGTTTAGAATTCAGCAGAATTTTTCAATGAAAACCCAAACAGACGTATGTTATAGCCTTACCCTGAATAATCCCATTACATATCTCTGACAGAACTGCACAGGGAATAGAAGTGACTCATAGCAGAAAGATGTAAATATGCCATATTTATAAGACAGCACATAGGTGGGAATTTTTAGTATTCTAGCTCAGACTCTGTAGCTGTAACTTGAGAATCCTGTAGAGATTTGTATGCTAAAAAATGGGGTAAAAGTGGCATTTAAATCTTCTTTTGAAACTTCAACCTCACTTGTACATATAGTTTGCAGAGGGACCCCTTTTGGATGGACTCTACTGGGACACGTGGTATAACAACACGACGTTAACCTTCCAGAACAACAACAGCCATATTTACTACGAGAATTTGCTGTTAGGAGTAGCCCAGATTCGCCAGCTGAAAGTACGCAACAACACTTGCTCCATCTACCCCTATTTCCATACTTTGTTAGAAGACTGTTACAGTGAATATCGATACCGAGCTGAAGACAGGTCTAACTTTGGTCTGTGGAACAAATCTGAGTAAGTCATCCTACTTCAGCACAGAAATGTTTCTGAAAACCTAACCAAATCCATACTGCCATTAGTCTTCAGTTAGTAACCACTGTGCATGCAATTAGCTGAGTTTTGCTCTTGTTTACATTGAGATAAACCATGGATTTGTTTTTGTGCCAACATTATAGATGGGGATTTGGCAAGGGAAATCTACAGCGGAGAGACAGGAAGAACTGGAAACAGTGAGCCCAGTTTAGCAGAAGCACATCTTAGTGGGCTTATCTCCACTAACATCTCTGGAGAAATGTTCAATTATATGAAGCCTGAATTTAAATCACATGTTTATAAATTGGAATCATGCTAAAATGCTCTGGAAACAGAGCCAAAAGGCCGGCTTCACACACTTCATTTAGCATTTAAGGCAATGAAAGAACACGTGAACATGCCACAGTAACAATGAACTATGTAAATCAGAGATACTCCATTTACTTATAAAGGTTTTAAGGTAATAAACTGTCTGGCCCATGTTGGGTGAAATCCAGATTCATAAGCAATTGCTGTTTTGTGAATGTACTGAGTAGGTAAATAAAAGAAATGGGAATATTTTAAGGCCGTATGTCTCATGCACACTTCACATAAAGAAAAGTTGTATTTAAAGGTCTGGCTTAAATGGTCAGTTGTGGATGCAGAAGAACACAAGAACTAACAAGAATTGTATAAAATAAAAGCTTAAGCTTACTTCAGTCCAGTTTCCATGAGCTGAGCTGCTTTGTTTTCCCATTTCTGACAGATGGAAATACACCTCGGCCTCCTCGTTAGCCCCGTGGTACTGGGGATCTATGGGCTTGTACAGCAGTGGGGGATACATGTTCACTTTACCTAAATCAAAGCAGGAGAGCGTGGAGAAGTTGGTGTTTCTCAGGAACAACAGCTGGCTCACTAGAGGAACCAGGGTTGTATTTATCGACTTCTCAACATATAATGCGAACCTAAACCTCTTCTGTACAGTCAGGTGAGTTCTTACCTTGACTACATGTGAAATGCAATTTCCTGAGGCGTGATGCTTCCATAAGGACATGAGGAAAGGCTGGTCACTGTCACCTCAGGCGTATGTAGCCATGTTTCTTGGGTAGCAGCTGGCAAGACAGGAATTGATTAAAAATGCAGAAATTCAGTTAGTGCAGGGAGCAGACCCAGGTCCTTCCTTGCCATTTTTTGGTGATAGTTGGTGTCTGGTCTGTACAGCTGGTCGCTGCTGTCCCTTGGAATAGATTTTGTAGACTTTTGCAAGGTCAAAGTCTGGATTATTAGTCCTGTTATCAGCTAATGGAGGGAAAAGGCTCAGGGCAGGGTGAACCTCTGCTCTTCTGAAACAGGTTCTTTAAAGACTTTTAACCAAACACCATAACTTGGGTATCCCAAGACTTTCTTGTTTTCCCCTCAACCTTCCCTACCATGTAATACTCGTCTCATGGAAACCTTGGTGTAAACCTTACAAGAAGGTCTTGTAGGAGTCTCAGTAATGTATTATTAATATAGTAATTATTAATATTAGAAAATTAAGGGCTGACATGATTTAAAAGGGATGATATCTAACACCAGTCCCCAATTTTTTCCAGGTTGGTGGTAGAGTTCCCTGCCACTGGGGGTGCTTTCACCTCCTCACATATCTACTCTGTGAAGCTCCTCAGATACGTCACGTATTACGATTACTTCCTGGCTTCTTGTGAAATTGCCTTTTGCATCTTTATAATTATATTCATAATCCAGGAAGTTATAAAAATAGTAAAACTGAAAAAAGAATATTTCAGAAGTGCCTGGAACTGGCTGGATTTGCTGCTGCTGGTGGTGAGCTACCCCTTGACTTTCACCTTTGTGCTTAGCCAGGTTGGGTTAGCAGTGGAGAGATGGCCAAGGAGCCAGGACAGCCCGAGTCTGTTCCTGACTGATGTCAGTCACTCACTGTTCCACACTGAAGGGGCTGTGTGCCCCACCACAGTTCAGCACACCTGAACTCTTTTCTAGCTTTGCTGTCAACTTGCTGTGGCTGCACATCCTTTCTACTCATTATCCACCTTGTTTTACCCTTAATCTTTGCAGAGCAGGGAAGCACTAGCACATAACAGAGCTAACACAGTGAAATTACAATGTATGCAGCATGTCACATAGCACAAGCCCAGAATTAGCACAGTACAATTACAAATTATTTGGCCAATAAAGTTTAAACATATAGAGTTTATGACAAAACATCTAAGAAGCTGAGGTTCTGCAAATCTTTTAAAATCAAGACAGTCTTTCCTGTGCAAAATGACAAGTCTGAAGAGAGGGGACATAGCTGGTCTTCAGTTTCACTGGCTTCTGCTTTCCCTCAGGTATCCATCCTTGCCATTGCCTTCAACATCTACCGCACTGTAAAAGTGTCCCAGCTGATGGAAGAGCTGCTGTCTGATGCCCATGCATATCCAGACTTCTATTTCCTTGCCTTCTGGCAAGTCCTTTACAACAACATGATTGCTGTCAACATCTTCTTTGCTTGGATAAAGGTATTGGTTCTTATTCCCTTTTTTGTACTCAAGAATCATTTTGTTTATAAGATTCCAGAAGAGTTTAAAATTACCTCCTTCTCACAAGCATGGGTCACACAAATTCCAAACCCATCTTAAAGAAAAAAATGCTGCACATGGGCAGCTGTCTCCATTGGAGCAGCTGGAAAACAACCATGGCCAAAGATCCTCCTCAAACTCAGTCTTTTCCTAGACCCAGTGCTATCCAGGTCACAGCCTGACCTATCCTGATGGCATGGCTGGAATAGGTGAAGCTATTCACAGCTTTTGGAGGCAAAAGCTATGAAAACAGTTTAACTGTTTTAACTGCAGAGGAAGGCAAAATGTGTCAGAACTTGATTCAGAAGTGGCTTTATGCCAGGACACCTTTCATTTCATTCTTATTTGCAAATAGATCTGCTGATCTCTGGACAGAGTAGCAAATTCTTCTAAGACGAGGGGCTACTTTTGTTCCCAAGCAGGTGCCCTGGGGCCGACCCAGTCCTGCATGTTTACACACCAATGCCCCTAATCTGCTAAACCCTGCTGGCCCTGACTAGGCTCTGCACCCCTTCCCCTGCACCCAGCAGACATCAGTGACTGCAGTTTGGGTGGCCTCGGTGATCCCAGTGACAGGATTAAACTTCCCAAAGCTTTTGCCTGATCCCAGGCTGCTTCCAGGCCCTCTCTCCTCTAAGGTAGTTGTAAAACACCCAGCCCAAAGTGGCTGTGGAATAGGCAGGGGAGCTGTTCACATCTGCCAGAAGAGATCAGGCTTTACAGTCACGCCCCAAGTACCTGAACATAAACTATCATGAAAGGTCATATCCTTTTAAAATAAACAAGCTTTTGGCCTTCTTCCACTGCCCAGGCTGCAGGAAGGAGCTGTTGGGGAGCACTGGTTGTTAACCTGTGGACTCTCCCTCATTATATCCATTCTGTACCCCAGCTGCATGTTCTGCCTTTATCATCCTTCCCTCAGACTGATTACTGTTAATTTAGTTACACAACCATGTTTCTAATTAATGACTGTCATTGAACAAGGCTATTGTTCAGGCCTTGTTTCAGACCCAAAGTAGAAAAAGAGCTCCTTACCAACTCAGCCCATCAGGGAATCCTCAGACACAGGAGGGTGGTGTGGCTTGCAGTCTCCTTGACCCGGGGTCCAGACCTGCTAGAGCTGATCACACATACCAGTACCCAGCAAAGACCTCTCCACACGCTATTAGCTTTAGCACAGAAGCTTATTTGCTCTGCAGAATATTCATCTTCTCCAGAAACACACCCACTCCTAGTTCTCCTTACAGTTACAGACCACGCAACTTATTTCTAGGTAAGACTTAACCTGTAAATTATGATTACAGGTAACATTCCAGAAATGCTGTTAAAGGAGTTGCAAGATATTGTGATCCCCCAATAACCATACGTTCTGTTCTCTCGTAGATATTTAAATATGTGAGCTTCAGCAAAACCATGACGGAGCTGTCCTCCACTTTATCTCGCTGTGCCAAAGACATCATTGGATTTGCCATCATGTTCTTCATCATTTTCTTTGCCTATGCCCAGTTAGGTTATCTGGTCTTCGGGTCACAAGTTGAAGACTTTTCCTCTTTCCAAAACTGCATGTATGCTACTTTCTAAAACTTTTTGATACAACCCCCCTCCCCCCCCAGTTGGTGCAGGTGCAAACCAGTTTCTGCTAAGCAGAAGTTACGAGTACAGGTCTTCAACATTTAAGCTTATTTCAGAGAGTAAAACCAATTTTGTTGTCTATACAATCCATTTCCCAAAGTCTCCATACGTTCAAAAGATACCACATGTACATTAAACATGGTCTTTTAAGAAAACATCCAGCTGCATAGCTAAGGGTCCCTGAATCCCATCTACTGGCTCTCTTAATTTCTTCCCCAGATTTTTTTTCAGCCACTCACTGTAGCAACAACATCAGATCAATCCCAGGTGCCAGCTGGAACTGGTTCTGATAGTCCTTGCACCAACCCTAAGCTGTCACCTACACTGTGCATTGTGTTTCAGCCCATGGCTACATTTCACAACTGGAGAGAGACACCTCTAGTGTACCAGATTGTTTGAAAGCAGCTTTTCATGTAAAATTTAGGGACTTCTAAACAAGAAAAATAGTTCATTTTGGATCCACTTGGGTGTGAGGTAGTTTTAAATGCTGCAATATAGAGAAACAAGTATTTATTTGTCTTAGGTAGGAATAAAATCCCCTATAGAGGGACATAGGGACCTAGATTGTTATCTTCTGTACTAACAGAAGATAGGGGATCATGAATCATAGAATCATAGAATGGTTAGGATTGGAAGGGACCTTAAAGATCATCCAGTTCCAACCCCCCTGCCATCAGCAGGGACACCTTCCACTAGACCAGGCTGCTCAAAGCCTCATCCAACCTGGCCTTCAACACTTCCAGGGAGGGGCATCCACAACTTCCTTGGGCAGCCTGTTCCGTGAAGCTAGAACAGAAAGGAAATAATTTAAAAAAACCAAAAACTACAACAACAACAACAAAAAACTCCACAAAAAACCAACCCAGGTGTTTTATCCAAAATGAAAATATTTTCTCATATAAGCCATTTAACAATTCCTTGGTACTTTCAAATTCTCAAAATACAGGGTAAATGCCCAATGTACCACTGCAGTATTACCCTGGCTTGCCTTTTGATTTCAGTGACTAACATCAAGGTGAATCAGTCTCAATTGTATCTATTGGGGTTTTTTGTTTGTTTGTTTTTTTTCCTTTTTAAATAATGCTGACAATACTTCTTTTTAGGAGAAGCCAGTCAACCTCATTCTGGTATTTTTTTTTTTTACTCTCAGCTTTACGCAGTTTCGTATCGTGCTGGGAGATTTCAATTTTGAAACCATAGAAGCAGCAAACAGAATCCTTGGACCTATTTACTTCATCACATTTGTATTCTTTGTGTTCTTCATATTGCTGGTAGGTATCATCTTAAAAATGCTGGTCCTTTTGCATAAGCAATAGAGAAGAACTGTTGTCTAGTGCACCAAAAACAGTGTTTTCCACCCCAAGGTGACAGTGGGCTTTGCCCTGGCTGCTCCTCAGGACACCTGGGCAGACAGAAAATCCAAACTCTTTTGGGGTAGTTCCCAGCTGGCAAGACATTTCACAGCTCTCCCTTCCTCCAAACAGACACAAAAGGGGCTTTTGCACCACAAAACAAGCACGTTGCACCTTTCACTCTACTGCACCGCCCAGTTCTTAAGATTTTAATTTCTGAAAACTTAATTGGGTCTTCTTGAAAACTGCAGAATGTCAGCCTTGTCAGGTAGGAAGGTTAAAGAGAGAGTGTGATGGGACTGTGTGGGTGCAGCTTTGTTTTATCAGTTAGATTGATGTTTTCAGTAACTACATCAGATTGAAACATCATCTGAAAAAGGTACAAGCATACAACAAGAAATCCGTTAGCTCCAGGGAACTAGGCCTTTCAGCTGATACTGCAGAGGGAAATAAGTGATTTGTCTCCCAAAAATATTCCCTAAGACCCTAAGATTATCAAATAATGAGCACGTCTGCACCCAGCAAAGCATTCTGTCCCATTGGTCACGTGCCCTAGCACGGCACAGCCCCCAGAACAACAGCTCCAGCAAAATACAAATGCAATTTCCAGAAACAAATATCTAACTGCATCCTTCCTCTGCAGAACATGTTCTTGGCTATTATAAATGACACCTATTCAGAAGTCAAAGCAGACTTTGAAGTGATACCCAGTCAAGAACTGCAGCTCCGAGACCTCTTTAGAGAGGTAAGTAAACACTTCTGTAACTACCTGACTTACTCAAAAAAAGAGGAGGAATTCTAAGCTACATCAGTAGCAAAGAGCCTTAAACAGCTCAGCCATAACCATTTAAGAACACCCAATATTTGATTCTTCACTTTAAACATTGGACAGATACAGAGATAGCCTTCCATCAAACCCACAGGAGCTCCTAATGGTAAGAGCAGCACATGAGTTGGGGTTCAAGGACCCTACCTTTACCTCACCCTTTTAAAAGCAGTATTTATTACCAGCCTAAAGATCATCTCTGCATGGAAGACAAGTAGAAATATCAGAGAATAATAGAATGGTTTGGGTTGGAAGGGACCTTAAAGCTCATCCAGTTCCAACCCCCCTGCCATCAGCAGGGACACCTTCCA